GATCCCCACCTGTGCGGCACGCACCACATCCACCGCTACCTGCCCGTACCCTCCGATCTACAACCGCATCCGAAATGCCGTCGCCACGGACGATCCAACGTGCCCATCGATCCGAGCTCTCTGGGCTCAAATCACGCCGTTCGTGGCCAAGCTGTGGTGCTCCACCGGACGCCAGAGGCCGTGGCTTCCCCACAGATAACCTCGAGGCGCTCGAAATGCCAAACTCGGGTCAGCGCGCCAGTGTCAACCGGTCGCCAAAAGCAGTAGGTTCCTGGTCTCGATCCGCCGATTTCGCCGTAACCAGGGGTCCGTGGCACGGCAGCGGTGGCGACCGGCTACCGCAGTAGGGCATGCGATGGTGCTGCGCGGCAAAAACGCGGGCGGCAACGATGCCAGCGTGCGGAGCAAAGACGGGGCCTCACCGGGAATCGAACCCGGGACCTCTCGCACCCGAAGCGAGAATCATACCACTAGACCACGAGGCCACTCCAAACAGACCTAACCGCCTACAAAATTAAAAACGCCATTACGCAAAGCCGCCACGAACTATCTACGCACACGCACCTGTGCGGCACGCACCACATCCACCGCTACCTGCCCGTACCCTCCGATCTACAACCGCATCCGAAATGCCGTCGCCACGGACGATCCAACGTGCCCATCGATCCGAGCTCTCTGGGCTCAAATCACGCCGTTCGTGGCCAAGCTGTGGTGCTCCACCGGACGCCAGAGGCCGTGGCTTCCCCACAGATAACCTCGAGGCGCTCGAAATGCCAAACTCGGGTCAGCGCGCCAGTGTCAACCGGTCGCCAAAAGCAGTAGGTTCCTGGTCTCGATCCGCCGATTTCGCCGTAACCAGGGGTCCGTGGCACGGCAGCGGTGGCGACTGGCTACCGCAGTAGGGCATGCGATGGTGCTGCGCGGCAAAAACGCGGGCGGCAACGATGCCAGCGTGCGGAGCAAAGACGGGGCCTCACCGGGAATCGAACCCGGGACCTCTCGCACCCGAAGCGAGAATCATACCACTAGACCACGAGGCCACTCCAAACAGACCTAACCGCCTACAAAATTAAAAACGCCATTACGCAAAGCCGCCACGAGCTATATACGCACACGCACCTGTGCGGCACGCACCACATCCACCGCTACCTGCCCGTACCCTCCGATCTACAACCGCATCCGAAAGATTTAACTGTTTACAATACGAAAAGGGGTATTCGGTATTGCTGCTTGCAAATAGTTTGTCCTGTAAAATAGACCTCTAAAATAGACCACGCCTGTCTCTGAATATGACTTTACACGAGATAGGCGAGGCTGTTTTAGCTTTGTGCTTTGGTGGAGGCCGCTTTTAGGCCCAGAAACTCGGTTTGGCCGTCTAGAATGGCATTTCTGCGTTTCCAATCCCGAGAAATGCGTTTTGGTCGGGAAAACAGAGCCCCAAGCGTGGATCTTAGACCAGTACTGGCGTTATATATAAATCAGAGCTAGGTATTAATTAAGAGCTGGCTGGATTAAAATGGAGATTATTAACGAGATAATAGGCATGCGTTGGCCAAAATATCTGCAAACGGCAATATATTTTAGTAACGTTACGTTCGAGTAATCGAGAGGGCGGCGAAGCCGTTGCTCGCCAGCTTCGATACTAAGGCAACACCGTTGAAAATCCCTCCCAGTATTGATAACTTATTAATACTGGCAGTGGTGTTGCCTTAGAATCGAAAATTGCCATTGTTGCAATCG